TATCCTTCTTCCCATTTTCTAATCTGCCAAGAACACCTCTCTGGAGCTTGTTTGTTGCTATCAAAGCAGCTCTGACTCATGGTGTGAGCCCATATAGAACAGAAAGAAGGACGTGTGGCCTGGTTTTCTGCTGTCTTCACCATTGTCAGTGTACTTTAAGATGCCTGTTGTTGTTCTTAAGTGCTGTTGAGTCAATTCTGACTAATAGCAACCCTGTATAGGGTTTCTCAGGAGTGGCTGGTGACTTTAAACTGTCAACATGAGATGGGGAATGGGACTACAGTGGATGCACACAGTATAGCCATGTGTGTGTGTATGTGTGTGTGTTCCCTCTCAGTGGTCAACACCTGTGACTGTAGGCAGGTGCAGAGAGAACCAGAAGTGCCTGAGAAATTACGTTGGCAGGAACAGCCCTCAGCCAAGAACTGACAGGTACCAAGGTACAAATACTGCTCCTGTCCTGGAGGGGACAGCTCTCCAGTGTGACTCAGACTGTTTCCATAACCCTGCAGGACTCAGCCAGTTACACTCCAGAGACTACTTCATCTCACAGCTCTTTCATGTGTCCTCCTTCATCCCCATTTGCTTACTTTTGTTTTTCCCAGGGCCACTTTATAATAAATTGCTTTCAAACAAATCCTTGTCTTAGGGTCTCTGAGGTCTTACCCTGACCCCCACTACCAAGGACAGAGAAGAAAAAAGGAGGTAGTAATTGCTCCCAGTCTTCATGTTGCTACAAACAGTGATGGGATGTATCAGAAGTAAGTCCTTATGAATAGTTACAGTACTAACTTTGCAAGTCAGTTGCATTTGTTATAAATTAGAGTATATTTTAAATGATCCCTCTCTTTATTTAAAATGCTGTCTCTTTCCCTCACTTGCATTCTGATGTTTTATGAGTGGAATAGAAAGAAGAGGCAATTCTCCATTGCTAGGCTGTGTACATAACCTACAGCTATATTATACCAAGTCTAGGTACACTCATGGGTCCTGCATGTAAACATCATCCATTGTGTGTTTTACCATGTGAAAAAATTGAGACGCGCTGGATCAGAGCTTTGGGGAATTTTGGCTTCATATGTTTTGGATTCACAGGAATAGGGCTTAGAGTTTAGTCAGGCCTAAAGGTAAGAGTAGCATACCTTCTAACATCAGCAATGTCTTCCCCTCTCTTCCAACCCTTTGTCACCAAACCCACATCTTCCAGGAAATTTTCTCAAGTCTCACCCTCCCTTTACTCCAATCATCTCTGTACCCTCCTTCCTTGGCTCTAGGGAAGTGTTTTGTTGTTGTTGTTTAAACCACCTTGTTAGCATTTGAGTTACAATCCTCCTCCCACCTCTACATACACCCTTCATCTTCTTTCTGCACCTTAAATGTACCCCACCCCCCCAGCATTGTGGAGTCTCTGAGTTTCTAGCTCAAATCCTAGGTTGATCAGGGATCAAGCAAGGGCATTAGGAGCCTTAACCACACTGGGAGGTGGTGGGCAAGGGCTGGTTGTGCTGTCACAAAACTGTGACTGTGAGTAGGGGTGAGTTAGGTCACCAGAACTTACCTCCTGTGGCAGTAAAATGGGGGCACCGGGCATCTGCCTATCCCACTACCATACCAGGACTTTGACTTGCTTACCCTTTCAGTCTCTCTGTGTGGACCCAGGCAACTCCCCTCTTAGTCGGAACCTGACCCTTGAATGTTGATGGGGTTCTGCTCCAAAGAGCCTAACACCCAGAGTCTTGACACATGTACACAAGTCGTGGGACTGCCTTGTCCTGCTTCTGTTATAAAATCGGCAACTCTTCATCCTCTAAACGCTACTTGCCTCTTGGGCATCACAGAAGCTGGTGGTGGGCAGCAGTGCCCAACCAGCCTGGGGTGTCCTATGCATCAGAGGCCTGAAACTTGAAGCTTCTTCCCTGAGGACTTGGTGGGGGGCCAGTCCTGAGGCTAGGGGGAGTGAGATGACACCTTCTGCTTTATTCCCTCAAAGGACAATTTGCATTTTCATAGGGTTTGCCATTCACACCAGAGAGCTGGGCTTAAAATGTACTTTCTTAAGCAACCAGCTGTCATCCCTGACTCTTAGGAGTGGAAGGCTAAATGTGAGGTTACATGCAAAAAGCAGGGTGAATAGTCATGTGTATGCTGTGATGCAACTACATACCTTACCTTTTTTAAAAAAAAATAAGGACATGCAGAGTAGGGAAGAAGGGTTATGTGTAATGGGTGTGTTGGGGTGGTGGTACTATTTATGATTTTCTTCCTTTCTAAGTGTTATGTGGCTATACTTATTTGTATCATTTATTTTTAAAACTGCAAATATTATGGTCCATGTGGGAGGCTGTGGCCACTGGACAAGTCAGCGTGTCTAGTGGTGAGGGACAGATTCTTCTCGCCTAGGTGTCTGTCCCTTAGGTCAGTGAGGACAGCAGCGGGAGGGGGCCCGAGGCAGGGATGCAGCTGATATCCGAGTGTGTAGACCTTCCCCTGGTTTGGTAGGTACTATAGCACTGGATTGCAAGGTTGATTTGAACCACAAAGCCGGTGGTTCAAACTCAACCAGCCACAACTCAGAAACCTTATAAAGGGTTGTTAGGAGTCAAACCCAACTCAGTAGCACTTTACAGTGTCAAAACCATCTCCTCATCAGTGAAGTCCCTGGGTCTTTGTGGCCCTTTGAAAATCTCTCTCTTACCACAGTTGTGGCTTGGAGGGCTTACACGGGACTTTGAGACCCAGGACCCAAGTTTTCCTGCAGGTTTTCCTGATAGCCGATGGCAACAAGACATGCATACACAGAGGACTGGCTCCCATGAGGGGCAAGCAAGAGAAAGCCACTCAGCTCACTCTCCAAACAAAGGCAACCAAACACCTTTAAACACAAAATAGTCTTTTATTTGTCAACGAAGGCTACACGGGATCACTTCTGGTTTTATTTTTATGCCTTTTCTTTTTTTTTTTTCCTAGAAGGTATCTACATCTGCATTTATTTACAGCCTTGTTGGTATTTACACAGTCAAGAATACAGTGTTAGAAACACAAAAGTGTTGAGAAAAAAACTTCTCAAAATTAGTTCCATACTTCAGGAAAACTATTTCCACATGGTAAGGCCAAGAGTCTCCAGTGTTGGTCGTCCAGAGGCAGCTTGGAATAAAGTCCTTTTGCCGAAGCTGCAGGTTCAGAAGTCCTTAAGAACAATAGGCAGATTTAGAAAAGTGGGATTCTGGTGTTTGATGAATCCAGGACTGCCGGGCACCATCAGACACCGTGACTCAGCTGCCAGGAGAGCTGAGCCTGCTGAGGGTTAGTTTTCCCTTGGCAGTTTGCCCTCAGAATAAATCACATTTTCTCGGGGACCGGGGGGGTCATCCAATATTATGCCTTTGGCATTCCAGAGGGGTAAGAAACACACCATCGGACCTTCCCCAGGCTGTCCCCACTCTTGATTTTCCACACTCATAATGAAACCTAAGAGTTCACCACTGTCTGGGGCAGGCAAGTACACAAAGCTGTTTTATTTTTTTGAGAATGTAAAGGTTGGAGAAGATAAAGTTTCTCTCTGTCACCTGAGCAATGAGTCTTTAAAATGAGTTTGCTATTTTCTGGAAGGTTAAATAAATGAAAGGGCCTTGAACAACAAAGTTCTTGTTTTAAACCTTCTCCCCTCCAATAAATATGGACAAATATATAAACCCATCTGGAAACCCTTTGATGGAAGACTAGGAAAAAAGGAGAGACTGTTCTTTCTGGAATCCTCTGGAAGGCGAGTCCCCAGGGCAGGACCAGGATCCACCTATCGGGTTAGTGGCTGCTGTGAGGGGTGGAGAATAGACTTGACTTGGACCCCAAAGTCTTTAGACCCCACTGAGTCCTGGTGAACTTATTCTTCCTGGGTACAAAGCTTAGCATCACTGCCTTCATCATGTTGTTAATCCCAGATGCAATGCAAGAGATGGTAAAAGTGTATTCTAAGATTTCAGTCTAAAAGCCTCATCTTTGCATCATGGAATCCCCTGCACTGATAAAGGAGACATTTGAAAATCACAACCAAAAAGACCCCTTATTTTATTTTTTAAACAAAGCTGATCCTCTGTTGTGTGTCTATAAAAAGTAACTCTGTTCAGTTTTACTCACCTCCCTTGCCACACTGTGACTTTCTGCTCCCAGTCCCACTCTGCCCTCACACCCCTGGCCATTTTGAACCTCTGTGGTCAGTTTCTTAGAGCTTGTTTCAAATGCTCCCTCCCTAAGGAGAAAGCAGACCCTTGTGTGGACCCTTTGCCAGTAATTCATAACAGGGCTGACAAAAGTATACTTTCCTATGGAGCTGCTTCCTATTCCTCCCAAGGTTATAGCTCCTTCTGGAGTGTGGGTAAAAGGAATGGCCTATAAGAAAGCCACACTGGGGAATCACAAATGTCTTGTTTAAGCTGATGGCAGAGGGGCTCAGGATGAGGGGCCAACTGGTAGGTGCAGAGGGTGGCGGAGAATCCCACCTTCTCCTAGGATCAGAAGGCAGCACCTCATGACCTTGAGCCAGTGGGAGAATACTGGTAACTTGAAAGAAGGGACAGGTTTTGCCAAAGGGGAAGGTACCATCAAGGGTGGGCTTTGATACTTAGAGGCTGCTCAACAGGCATATGGAATGTTGGCTCATGCCTTCAGACTTTCCTTGTTGTGTTTGGGGGCTGAGGTCTCATCAGGAGGACAGACCGAGAGGAGGTACTGAGAGTTACCTGTCAGCCCAATTGGAAATTGGTCCAAAGAGGGGAGGACAGAAGTACTAGATGTACCTGCACTAGCATCAGTGTGAAAGAGGTACATAATGCCACCTATTCCACACCTGAGAGCTTTTCTCTACCACCAAATCTCAGGAATGCTTTAACTTCTCCCCTCAGAAGCTGGACCTCCTTGGTGGTATGTGGCCCAGGAAAAATAAGATCATTCAAAGAAATGATTGTGATCCTTAAAAAGTCCATACCTTTTAAGGACTACTTTTTGTGGTAGAAAAGTACAGGGAGGGTTCCCTTGGCTCTCATGCATTGTCTTACATCTGACTTTAAAGTTGATGTCCCCAGTAGGTGTTGACTGATATGCAACAGCATGGAACCGATCAACCAGGGCACTGGGCAGGAGAGTGCTGCACAAGGGCCCCTGATGTCAAGAGTACATGCTGATAGGCATCAGTCTCTTCTGGGTTAAAAACAAACAAAACCTTTGTGTTCCTCAGGCCAAATTTCCCCCATCCTATCCAAGAATAACCTGCTAATAGTAGCCCCCTTGCCAGCTCCTGAGGTTCACAGTGGGGCCAAGGAGCTTGTTGTCTGACTCCATTGAGTTCTGTACCCAGAGGCAGTGGGCAGCCATTGGACAAACAGGCTAGGCCAAGGCACACTGTTGTTTTTTGGAAACAGGAAGAGCACTTAGCAAAACACATCCTTTAATCCCAAGGGGATGACATTAGGTGAAACCGCCTCTGCCCGAGACACTTTGGATACCTCCCTCTGCCAGGCAGAACCCAGGCTCTACGTTGCTCTGATTCTCAGACGGTAAGAGACCTCCTTGGTTTCATTAATTTGTGTAATATTCTGAAGACTCTGTGAGTAAGGCTATAAAGGTGCCATGAGCTTATCAGTCCAACAAGGTTTCCACGGGGAAAAGCTCAGACTCAGAATTCATTTTCCACACTTAATGCAAATGTAACCCTATAAAAGTTCCATTTTCTAAGAAGCCTGGCTCAAAAGGAAGCATTTGGCTTCTCCTCCTGTCTTCCAGAGCCTCCTGTGAGTGGTAATGACAATGGTAATTAGGCAGATGAACCAGGAATGGAACCCTTGAGCAAGGAGTCCTAGTGCTTGCTCCTACTTCCCCCTCCCCACAGTGCTTCCCTTTGCCTGCTGGCTGCTGTCTCTTCCTTGACATGCCTTCCAGATGTGGGCTGTACCCACTCCTGAGAGTGCTCAAGTCTTCCAGATGACCTTAGGCATGGATTGTCACAGGAACAATTTGAGCTTGGCAGCCCAGATCCATGGGCACCAGCCACTCTTCTTGGTGGAATTGTGCAATACTGACATGCTGCCCCAAATTAGCTCTCTCCTCCTTTATCCTAGCTCTCTTTCCAACTCTGGTTGGAGCTGTCTGAGAAGAATTTTTTGAAAGCTTATCCTGCTGTATCCCAGCTCTACAGTTAGCCTGAGTGTGTGAGACAGAGGAGACTTCAGGAGCTGGGTAGAATGATGCTTGGCTCATGCTTTCCCTCTCTTTGGTTGACTTTTCCTTAAGTATCTTTCCAGAAGTAAAGGCCACCAAGCACCTTTGTCCACATTCCTATTAGTGGTGGCAGCTGAGCAGTGGCAGGAAAACACCCAAGATCATGAGAAGAGGGCTTCACGTAGGAAGGCAGGCTGGTACCCTTGCCACCACTGCCAATCCTTGGCCATAGGTGGTCTTCCCCTCCCTGGACATGGCATCCACATTGAGGGCTTGCCGTGCAGTGCTGGTTTTCACATCTGACTTTGGGAGAGAGGAAGAGATGAATAACAAACATCTTGGGGAGGGTCAACCAACCACAGACATCCTAGGTGCCTTTGCCTCCTGTGGACAAGGGGCTTTTAGCACTTGGATGCTATGCCACCGGACTGGGGGAAAGGACCTGGGAAACATTTTCTCCATCCCAGTATGGGGGTGACACCGACAATTACACACGATTTGCAAAAAGGATAGGGGGTTTCCTTTAGCATAAAAATATAAAGCAGGGGCAGGAGTTTGGGGCAGCCTGAAAAGGTGCTGAATAACATGAAAATCTCCAGAGCAAGATGAGGCCATCTGTGGCTCTGGAGGGATAGAACACAGTGAATAAAAAGCCACAACTTGTCTGTGGGAGTCTAGCCTAGCCAAGCAGCCTCAGACCCACAGACCTTCCGTCCGTCCCGTTTGGAAGGGACTTTGTATTGGCTCGTTACTTTCCGCACCCCTCACTCCTGCCCAACCCCCAGCGAAGAAGAAAGGGTTGCACAAGAGACATGTTAGCACAGACACTCATGTGTCACATCACACTGAGTACCGAGATACGGACAATGACACAGTCCAGGAGATGTGTCTCAGAGGGGAGAAACATACCCCAAACAACAAGGAAAAAATCTGCAAGATAAAGGGAACAAAAGACAATAGAGAGGTTTCATTGTGATCACACTACAGAAAAAAAAAAAAGAACCTTCTGTTCTTTGCAAAAAATGTGTGAAGGCCTATTTTTTTGTTTTTCTTTTCTTAAAAAAAACAAAAAGGATGTTGCATGAGTTACAATGCAACCAGTATCTTTTTTTCTTTTGCTTTTTTTCTGTACTTGTTAAAAAAATGACTTTTTTTTTTTTTTAAAGTACAACACAGTCAGGTCTGCGGCCACAAAAAGTGTAGCTGTCTTTGGCAAGAAGTCCAGGCATTGGCTTTCCCTGTCACCTTCGCCCCATCTCACTCTGTCTCATGAAGTGGATGTTGTTGGCGCTGTCTGACAGTTCTGGGTACTGCTCCACAGAGATCACGAAGAAACCATCATAGCCTTGCACCCTCCCCGTGTTCAGCACCTGCTGTTTCTCTCCCTCTGTCCAGGCCCGTAGGCCCTCCTCCCCATCCCGCACTCTCTGCTGCTCGCGGGCCCAAGCCTGGTGCACAGCTCTCTGCCGGGCCAGCTCCAGTACCCGCGCCTTCTCCTCGTCCAGCGTCGTTCCGTAGCGTGTGTTCAAGCACAGGGCTCCATACTGGAGCTGGATGTCTGTGTAGCGTCTAGTCCTGCCATTGAGCATCGTGTTGATCTGGGATACAGTGACATTGACCCCGTTCTCCAGGGTTCGCCGGCCCCCACTGAGGCCCAGTATGGCCAGGTCGCCTTCTGAAGGCCCGGGTTTCACGAAATAATGGGTGTCTATCCCTTCAATGGTCAGGTGCAGGTTCTCTAGGTAGTGGGCGTTGTTCAAGATGGCAGCCACCCTCCGCCCATCCTCATTGGCCACACTGATGATGTCTGTGGTCACTCGACCGTCTTTCAAGGCAAACTTGACTCCCTTGCCAAAGATGGAGCCACTAGATGCAAACCTCTTTGTTGTCTCTGGGGCCTGCTGGCAGCTGGTGATCGTGGAGCCGTAGAGCTGATCAAAGCGTTCTAGAGTGACAAAGGCCTTGAGCTGCTTCTGCACTTCACACTGTACTCCGAGGATAGACTGGTGTGGGGAGGAGAGCGGGAGAGTAAGTAAGATAAAGGAAAACGAAAACAGAACAAAACAAAGCAAGAGTCTGGAAAATAAGCTTAAATAACTAAATCAAATCGTACTTACCTATTAACCTGTAGCATCTCACTCTACTGTTGACCATCAGAACATACAGCCACCCATCATGTGCCCAATTTACCACCCTCTCAATTCAGAAACTGTACAAGGACCACACCTACTCGGTGCCAGACCCATGGGGGCACAAAACCAATCAGACAAGGTTCCTTACTCAAGGAACTCATAGTCTAGTGGGCAAAGACACATTTGGCAAAAAAAAAAAAAAATTACTTCCAATGTGCCAACTGGTCTTCTAAGAGAAGTAATAATAACCAGAACTAGCATTTCCTGATCTTTGAGTTAAACCAGTAACAGTCATTAACTTATGTGATCACCACAATAACTCCATATTGTTGGTATTGTTATTCTGATTCTGATTTTATATCTAAAGAAACTACAGCTGTACCTGCCCCACATATGAGGGAGCATCAGAAAGTTCACATGGAAAAGAGGCATTAAAAGGTAATGAATTACTCCATGAACTCTTTGAAGCCCCTTTGTATATAGCTAGTTAAGTATTCAAATCAACATTCGAATGCATAGGTCTGTCTAACTAGGAGTTCCAGCTTCAAGGACTGTTGGAGCAGAGAGGTGCAAATAAGGCTCAGGAGAGTTTCAGTCTGACAGTGGAGGAGAGAGCTGGAGACACTGGGGCTCAGGGCAGGCTGCAAGTTAGAGGAAAGGAGCTCTGGTAGCGTAATGGTTACGAATTGGGCTGCGAACCATAAGGTCAGCAGTTCAAAACTACCAGCTGCTCCGCGGGAGAAAGATGAGGCTTTCTACTCCCGTAAGGATTTACACCCTCGGAAACCCTGTACAGGGTCGCTATGGGTCGGAACCGACTCGAAGGCACTTAACAACAACAACAATTAGATAGAAGAATGGCAAGGAGAGCATTTTTTTGGCAAGAAGGCACAAGAAGATGAAAAGTAATGATTTCTATAAACCTTCTTGCCCTGCTTTTATCACTCTCCACGGTGTTTATAACTGATTTTCAAGAGGGGTCTTGGCCCCCTTAGTGCTCCCTTGAGATTATTCAGATGCCCCTGCTCTTGGTTGTTATGGGGGACAGGTTGGACCCACCACCAGCTTGGAGTACCATCTGCCTGTCTCTCCCATGAACCAGGGTGCTCAGGGGAAGCCATGTCTGGGAGGCTCCGGGGCCTTATCAGTGACTCAGAGAAATGGCTTTAGAAACAGACCCATCGGCTTCTCACTGAAATTAAGTCCTCTTTATAATTAATAGAACCCTGTCTGTGAACAGTTATTTCCTAGAGTTTCACGAAAGCTAGAGTCTCAACAACAAAGATCTCCGATGCTTGCCAAGGGCAGAAATCAATAATTCATTGACAGGCGAGGTTGGCAAACAGGCAGTCGGAGGCTGGGATTCTGTAGCGTGGAGAAGGGAACTGGGTAGGAAGAAGAACACAGGTAGTTGGAGCTGGCCCTGTGGTCAGCTGGGACAGAGCCAGGGGGACAGTGGAGACCAAAGGGGCAGAGCAGAAGGACTAGGGCAGTGGAGGGCGTCAGGAAGAACAGACTTTGTAGGCAGACTGGCTTGATGGTCATTTCCTTCTGCTTTCTAGACAAGTGACCTTGTGTGATGTCTCTCCCTGTAAAATGTAAATATACCTTTCACACCTATAAAATGAGAATATACCTTTCACAGGGTTGGTTTAATTACTTCATTTATTTGCTCAATGAAAGTTTTCCATGTTTGAACTGCAAGGTTGGCGGTTCAAACTCACCACCTACTCCTCGGAGACCCTAAACAGGGTCGCTATGGGTAGGAATCTACTTGACGGCACTTAACAACAACTGTGTGCTACGCTATATGTTGTTATTATATGCCATCGAGTTGGTTCTGACTCATAGTAACCCTGAATGAGTGGTGGGTGGGTTTGAACCACCGACTTTGTACCCCATCTAGCTACAGCACCACTCCTAGGCTGTATGTTTTGTTGTTAGGTGCCATCGAGTTGGTTCTGTCTCATAGTATCCCTGTATTAGGTTTCTGGGGAGCAGCTGGTGGGTTTGAACTGCCGACCTTGTGGTTCAACGTGACCTTGTGGACCAATGCATTATCCTGCAGTGCCACAGCAGGGCTCCAGGCTGTATGTTGTTGTTGTTATTATATGCTGTGGAGTCGGTTCCAACTCATAGTGACTCTGTACAGGGTTTCCGAGGCTGTAAATCTTTATGAGAACAGAAAGCCTCATCTTTCTCCCGCGGAACAGATGGTAGATTGAACTGCTGACTTTGCAGTTCGCAGCCCAATTCGTAACCATTATGCGACCAGGGCTCCTTATAGATGCAGCACTTGCCCAATTGGAGCTCATAGTATAGTAGAGATACAGGAAAGCAGCAGGCATGAAAGCCAAGTGGGACACATGTGTTGAAGGAGGAAAATAAAAGGTGCCTGCAGGCACAGAGGTGCAGAACCGTATCCTTCATAGTCCAGGGCAAGGAGTGAGTTAAGCTGAGGTGTAGAGGGGTCAGGGTCATTGGAGGACTGAGTAAGAGACAAATAAGAAAAGTTTCTGGAGCATAGCAGCATACCCCTTCTCAACCCTAACTTTCCTCCTTGGTATGCCATCCCCCCGGATGGATCTCAGCCTGACTCACTCCTGCCTCCACTGAGTGCAGTCCAGAGCCTGGCACAGAATTGGGCCTGATAAGAGGATTCATGAGGGCAGGAGGAAATAAATGGGTAAGTGAACATATAAAATGATTAGGTGGCATAGACTGTTTTTAAGAACGTCGTCAGCTATATAATTCTATGAGTCTTTGAAATTGACCCATAAAAGGAATAGAAAAGAAAGTAATGTTTATTGAGCTCCTATAGTATGCCAGGCACCACACTCAGCAGTTCTGGGTTTAAATCTCAGTTCCACCCCTTGCTATGTGCCACTGGAGCAGCCTCAGGCATCAAATCTGTAAAATGAGACCAGTATTACCACTGGGATATTTTTGAGCTAATTTACATGAGATATCTCACATCAGGTACATTGAAGGTGCTCAGATAATGTCACATTTGTATTTAGAACATACCTTCTTTGGCGTTTTGGACTGGGGGCAGTCTTTTAATGAAACTACAAACCCCAATGCAACATACAAAATCTTTAATGTTGCTCATGGGAGGACCATATGCTGTTCACAGCTGGGACCACTGTGATTAAGGGGTTACTAAGAACTGGTTGAAAATTCAGGAACTGTGGAGACAAGCTATAGGATTCCAATACTAGCCCAAGCTTTCCTGAAAAGTTGGTGTGACTCATTCCTAGAATGTCTGAATGGACGGAGGGGTGGGCAGTCAAATGCATTAATTACCTTGCTATTGTCCCACTCCTGAGTTTTCATCTGTGTGTGTACCAGCTCATAGGATGGTTCCATGGCATCCATGTCTGGCTTGGGGTAGCCAGGGATGACATTGTGGAGTTGGAATCCAAAGGTGAGCAGCCAGCTGTTGACATCTGGGTGGGAGAGAAATAGAAATATAACCATGAATTAAGTGGGGCTGGAGACGTGGAGCACTTTTACTGGTAGTATCAACGGGTACAGCTACTTGTAAATTTGTTTGGTGGTATTAAAGCTCAACATAATCTGGGGTCCCCATGACTCCCTCGCCTAGAAAGAGGAAGCTTAAGTAGAACTTGTGTTTTCTAACTTCCCTTTCTATTGTCATTTCCTTTTGAACCTCCAACTTCATACTAAGAAGCAAGCTGTGGGTGAATAAGAAGATCTCCCTTCCCCCCTCATTTAACCCAACTAGAGGAAACACTAGCAGAGAGAGAGACCAATCAGACCCAAAGGAAAAGTTGTAATGATTGACTTTCAAAGAAAAGAAAATGCTAACTTAAACACAACTTTCCCTCCTTTATCAACCCTCTCTTCTGGGCTTAGACATCACTGGACTAAAGGGCCACTGGGTATGGAGATGGCCTATAGCCAAGGTTTAAGAAGTTCTCCCTGATCCTACCACTGATTTGCTCTGCCAGTTCTAGCAAGTCTCTTTACCTCTCTGTGCCTTCCTTTTCCAGTTTGTACACTGCGCTTGAGGATCTAACCCCATTGTTGCTGTTGGTTAAGTGCTGGCAAGTCAGTTCTGACTCATAGCGAACCTGTATAAGCTTTCTGTGGTTGTAAATCTTTGTGGGAGCTCTCCCGCTCTCTCTCCCACTGAAGGCTGATGGGTTTGAACTGCTGACTTTGTAGTTTGCAGTGACTGCACTCCCCATCTAGCCCCATGTTGTTGTTGTTTGCCACTGAGTCGCTTCTGACTCATAGTGATCCTGGATAGGGTTCCTGAGGAGCGACTTATGAGTTTGAACCACCGACTCTGTGGTTCAAACTGACTTAGTGGTCCAGTGTTTATCCTAAGCATGGTTATTTATTGATTTAACTTTTAGGGGACTGAAAATAATAAAATATGAGGTAAATGGATAAATGGACTTCTGGTGTGGTGCTTTAGGATAAGTACTGGAGTGTGAACAAGGTCGGTAGTTCAAAACTAACAGCTTCTCCTTGGAAACCCTGTACAGGGTCACTATGAGTTATATTGGACCCAACGGCATTTAGCAACACAGGGGTAGGTGCGTTTTTGCCATATTCAAGGAGCAGCATTTGGCTCAGTGGAGAATGGAATTAGGAACCAAAAAATTAAAAAAAATAAACAGGGTTGAGGGTGTGCCACCAGCTACTTGACCAATTGCTGCTGAGGGCCTTTTATGTTACAGCACCGTGTCAGCCTGGGAACTAAAACTCTGAATAGCACAGAGACCCTAACCTTGAGCACTTAGGATCCTAAGAGAGTGAGGAGATACAGGCATGAATAACTTCGATTCAAGGAAAAACATCCGAGGAGGCTGAAATCTTTCAGTTGGACAGGTCGAGAAATCTTCAAGAAGACTAACTACCACAACCACCCTTCCCCCCACCCCACTCCCCGAGCTCATCCAGTGGTGGGAGCAACTTTAGGGTCAACTCTCTATTATATCCCATGTTGGCCCTCATATTCAAGAGCCTCTGTTTGCCTTCTAGTCTTTGTTTTGTTTTTCATTTGGGGATGTCCCAGGGACTCTCTCCTTGGTATGAAATCCAGAGGCCCTGATGTAGAATGGTTGTATAAAGAGAAGACTGGAAACCCAGGTTTACACCTAGCTTCAGCCACACTACACAAGATCATATAAGGGAAAGAACATGGTAGCTGAGGAAAGATAAAAATAGGTCCAAGTTCTGGCTTCCCAATATACTGTCTGAACTTGGACCATTTACCTAACCTCTCTGAGGAAAGAAGTGTCTCTTTACCACATCATGGTGAATACTAATAGTATCTCTATCATTTTGGGGAGCATTTCTAGTACAGAAGGGACTGTTCTAGAAACTGCTGGATTTAAAATATTTTAAAATTTCCAGCTGAGTTCTTGACTCATGGAAGAGCTTCTATAGTTCCTCCAGTCTATGTCCCTGGACTTCCATTTTCTCATTTGTAACATTAGGGGCTTGGACCAGCTTTTCTTCAGTCTCTTTCTTCACTGAGCAACTTAAACTCTCTGATTTTATGAATCTTGGCAGATGGTTCTTTGGGAAATTAAAACAAACAGAACAGGGGGAAAGAAGAAAAAAAAAACAATCCAAAAACCTACGAAGTCTTTTTGCCTGAGGCTGAGAACTAGCAGCTGAATTTGTAGTTGCAAAGGAAAGCTTCTATCAAGAACACTGTGAATTCCCAAGAAATTATGGGGCAGAAAAGAGGGCTGGTCCTTAATTACAAATGATAGAAGGTGGGGAACTTTCCCATTATGCCTTTAAGGAAAAATGCTGAACATGTATTATTCATTAGTTTTTCTATGGCGCTTTTCTGAAGAGTTGGGAATTTTCTTTTTATGACATGCAAAAACAACCAAAAATAAAAACAAAAGAAAACAAGTGAATTAATTCTGAATTATGGTCCGAGTTGACCTTTTACTCCACAGGGTTTTCATGGCTGTGATGTTTCTGAAGCAGATCGCCAGGGCTTTTTTCTAAGAAGCCTCTAGGTAGGTTTGAACTACTAATCTTTTGATTAGTTCTCAAGTGCTTAACCGTTTGTGCCACCCAGGGAAAAGCATTAGACTGTTAACCACAAGGTCAGTGGTTCAAACCCACCAACTGCTCCTTGGAAACCTTATTTAGGGTTGTGATGAGTTGGAACCTACTCAACAGTACTTAACAGCAACAGGGATTCTTCTAGTGACACCAGAAGTAAACATTTCCCTATAATTTTAAAAAAAGCATTCCTCTTCAGCTATTCGCCCCCAGCCTTAGTGTTGCCATCTGGAACCATGATGAAACTCAAGCAAATATCATTCTTTTCACTCTGCACAGCTTTGTATTGTACAAAATATATTGAAATTCAAGATTATTTGGAGTCAGACAGGACATGATTCTAGTGGACAAGTTACTTTACCATCCTACGTTTCATTTCCTCCTTTATAAGTAGAGTCAATAATTCTCATCTCAAGGACTTCATGTAAAGATTAAGTGGAATAATGTACATAATGTTATCTATGTTGTTGGAGGCCAGGATGGCTAAGCTTGGAGGCCAGGATGGCTAAGCTTCATCTCTCATACTTTGGACATACTGTCCGGAGGAAACAGTCACTGGAGAAGGATGTTATGCTGGGTAATGTGGAGGGTCAGAGAAAAAGAGGAAGACCCCTAACGAGATGGATTGGCCAGGTGGCATCATTGATAGACTCAAGTGTGGCAGCGGTAGTGAGGTTGGCCCAGGATCGGACATTGTTTCGTTCTGCTGTGCATGGGGTCGCTATGAGTCGGTTCCGACTCGATGGCACCTGACAACAGCAACATGTTGTTGTTAAGAGCCGTTGAGTCAGTTTCAACTCATAGCAACCTTGTATAGGGTTTCCGGGGAGCGGGGAGCGGTTGGTGAGCTTGAATCACCAATCTTGCAGTTCAAAATGACTTTGCAGTTCAGCGCATTAACCCATAGTGCCACACCAGCACTCCTTGATGTATCTGTGGTGGTGTTGGTGAGCCATGGAGTTGGTTCCAACCCATAGTGACCCTGTGTAAAGGTTTCCAAGGCTGTAAATCCTTATGGAGCAGAAAGCCTCATCTTTCTCTCATGGAACAGGTGGTAGTTTCAAACTGCTGACCTTGAGATTAGCAGCCAGATTCATAACCAGTATGCTACAAGAGCTCCTTGATGTATCTAGTAGGCATTTTCTTTGGTTACCTACCCAGTTTTGCAGAGCCCTGGTGTGGTGCTGTGGGTTAATGTGCCAGACTGCAGAGCCGTTTGAATTGCAAGGTTGGTGGTTCAAGCTCACCAGCTGTTCCTTGAAAACCCTATACAGGGTTGTTATGGGTTGGAATCGACTCTACGGCACTTAAAAACAACACCCAGTTTTGCAATCTGCCTTCCTACCGGGGGTATCTGCATGGTTTTAGGGAAGTTGACCCTACCTCAGGTTTTCAAAACTGCATCATGTAACATAGGTTAAAGTCTATAACTGTGAGACTCCGGGCAAATGATCATTTAGAGCCTCCATTTTCTCATCTGTAGAATGGGGATGATGACAGTCACCTCAGGGTTGTTGTGAAGTTTAAAGGAGGTCATATCTGCTAAGTGCCTAGCACATAACCAGAACACAGTAGTTCTGAGTAAGGAATGTTAATGCCATTCTGGAAGGATGCCAGATGTATATGGTGCTATACAGAGAAAATGGGGAGAAGTATTAATTTTTTTGCAAACTACATTTTTAAATAGAAAAGTATATTTTCCAACCAGCTGCAGTAACCTGCTAAGACATCTCACAGAAAACTCAATGGAGGGCAAGGCACAGGGTGTGTTTAATACAGACAGATGTAATAGAACTGTCATCTCAATCTGTCAAATTTTCTCTAGAGTTAGCAGCCAAGGTGAGCTTGGTGAATGCTGTGAAAGATGGCTGGGATATTCATGTTTATCAATAGGTCCTAAGAACGTTTTTATCAGACTTGTCTGCCACCTTGATCCCCCCTTCTTCTCCACTCTGGGAACTCCTGCTTTCAATAAGCCCACCTGGAATGGTTCCCTGAAAGATAAATTCTCCTATGACTGGTCAGCAGCTACAGAGCCTAACCAGGGCCATCAAGTTTGTGGGCTAAGAGGTCACATTCCTAGGGGGCACTCGAATGTGATCCCCTTCCTATACTTTTATATTCCTTTTCCAACTTGATCTTACTAATTGTTGTTGTTAAGTGCCGTCGAGTCGGTTCCGACCCATAGCGACCCTGTACAGGGTTTCCGAGGGTGTAAATCCTTACGGGAGTAGAAAGCCTCATCTTTCTCCCGCGGAGCGGCTGGTAGTTTCGAACCGCTGACCTTTAGGTTCGCAGCCCGATTCGTAACCACTACGCTACCAGAGCTCCTCTTACTAATAATACCTACTTATATGCCAGTTTCAATTGTCAACTGCTGTGAAGCCTTTCCAGAAATCTCTGGGTAGATCTAGTTTAGTTGTTCCTCTTCTGTGTTTTGATGGCCATCTCTGCAAATCACCACAATGGTCTCCTCACTCTCCTCTTACACTGTGAATCCCTGGAGGGCAGGGATCATCTTTCTATCCTCAGTGCCTGACACAGTGCTTGATACAGAGGACACACTCTTTTGAAAGAATAAATAAAATTGTCATAAAATGAGACCAGGAGGATTATGTCACAGGATGAAAGAGGTGGATACTCCAGGGTTTGAAAATTGGGATATATACACTAATTGCCAATCACAAACTCATCCATAAAAAGTGCTGGCTTTTCCCAGATCTGAATCCTCAGGGTTGCTCTGCCTCAAAGTCTTCTGTGGCTAAGCTGAGAGTGAGAGCTGGCTGAAAGGACTGTGGTTTTCAGGAACATCTCTGGCCTGTGTGATCTATAGGGAACTTTATACCCAAGTTGGCTTCACAGTAGAAGGTGGCAAAGGTCATTTTTCAAAGTCCGACAGTAGAGGAAAGAGAACCATTATGAGCCAGGCACTGTTGTAGGTACATTATAAAATGTATCTCATTTTATCTTTGTAGGTTGGGATTTGTCTTTGTTTGTTTAATCTGTTCTTAGTTCTTTTGATTGATTTTTCTTTCAGTATTTCAATTTATCTCCATTACTGGCTAATGGTGTGGTGTTGCATGATAAGACTGGACTGCTAACCACAAGGTTAGCAGTTCAAACCCACTAGCAGCTTCTGGAAACCCTATGCAGAGTTACTATGAGTTGGAATCGGCCACCCAGCATACAAAAACAACAATTAACGTATTGGCTAATGAGTTCTACCCATTTTTCAAAAATTTAAGTGATTGCTCTAGGGTTTACAGTATGAATATTTAATTTGTCACAGACAAGGTAGGAAGACTAACTCCTAAAGCAGTCAATAACTTTTATAACTTATAGCTTAGAAATGGGAGTGTCAGCAGTTCATCTAGTTCTGTCTGTCTCTAAAATCTATGGGTTCTCCATGACATCATCTCAAATCAGAGAACTGATTTCTTCTTTTTTAAAATTCTACTTATCCTATTTTATCAGGGACTCATAGCCAGCCTGGTCTCTGGGTCAGAAACTCCCAAAGTGGATCCCAATGGATGTATTTAGTGAGATATTAGGGTTGCATGATTAAAAAAACAAACCAAAAAAAGGGGGTGTTGGTGTTGGTTGTTTATGGTCAAATAAGTGTGAAAAATAGTGAGTTAATAAATTAAATAGTTCTCTTTACTTATGGGAATGCCCACAGCTTTTTATAAGCTAAAAGCTATTATGAAAACTTAAGAATGGTGGTTTTCCTGTCAAATTTAATGCCAGAACTTAATTTTCCACAGAATTTTTCTGAATTTGTGTTTTTTCAAATTTGCTTTGGAAAATGCTGCTATAAGAGGAAGCCTACTTCCCATCCCTCATCTCAGCTTCTCATGGCAGAAGTCTTTTCAGTGACCAGAACCTAGTGGGCCCTGGCTTCTGAAGGCACCGTGAGACTCACCTGTCATGAAGCACTTGATGTCCTGGGAGTTGCTGATGGGGTTGTTGTTTTTAAACATGTAGAGATTAAAAGGCATGATGTTGCTGCTACTAAGATGCTTCCACAGCTCGTGGTCTGGGCTGGTCCAGCGTCCAGCCAGCACATCATAATCCCGTCGGCCCATGTGGACCAGTTTGGTGAGTGGATCATAGAGGCCACCGTGGTAGCCAATGATGACCTGGAAGTTGGGGTTAGTGTCCATGTAGATCTCCCCATAGGCTGTGTACAAAATCTGCTTGATCATCAAGCCCGTTCCGCTGAAGACAGCAAGCGGTGTCCCAATGTTGTCACAGGCTATGTAGAACTCATCACCGCTGCTCAACTCCATGGCAAAGAGGTGACCTTGCAGGTCATAGTAGAGGGAAGTGATCTCCGAGCTGGAGTGGTTGTAGAGGTGGGTGACCTTGGTGGGGTTGGTTAGGTCTGCATAGAAGAACTGCAGGTGGTGGCTGTGGCTGCTCTTGCTGGAGACTCGCCGCCCGAGGCCATCATAGCGGTACCTGACACTCCAGCCCCCAGCCCGGTTGTAGGCCTTGATGAGCAGGCCAGCTGAGTTATACTCAAAGACATCACCGCCTCGCTGCCTCAGGAAGCCATCCTCGTCCATCTTGTATTGCACATCACCCAGCCTGGTGATACGGTCACGGAGGTCATACCGTAGTGGGGTGAGCCGAGCACTGTTCCCAGGGCTCAGTAGGTGCAGGTTCCCATTGAGGTCATAGCTGTAGCGCCAGAGTGGCTTGTCATTGATGGAGACTGTCTGCAGCTGGCCATCAGCATCGTACTCATAGGAGTAGCGGGTGGTGTTGGCATAGGGTCCCACCTTCAGCTCCTTCTTCACTACTCGCCCCATGTTGTCATACTGGACAGTCATCCAGTACATAAGTGAGCGGAAAATCTCATACTGCACTTCCTTCATCCGCCCATAGGCATCAAAATGTTTAGTGTGGGTCATGACTGCTGTGGTAATGATCTGATTGATGTCATAGTAGATAACACCAAACTTCCCAAATTGTTCTGTCTTGCCAGACACATCATCATAGCGATAGAGATCAATGGGCAGTGGGGTCTCGTTGATCACAGCCTGCATGCTGGTCACCCGGAAACTGTTGTCGTAGTTGTAGTCAAAACGAGCATTGACCATGCCTTCCTCGGTGAAGCGAAAGATCTGTCGGTCAATCAGGGGCCCGATTTGACGGTAGCGGATGGTGCAGGTGAAGCCTTCATTCTGTAGGTTGATGGTCTTCAGCATGCCTGCTGTCTCATCATAGGTGAAGCTTACTTTGGTGGTATCATACAGCATCTCAGCCAGCTTTGACAGCTTGCCATACTTATATACCACCCTGCGCCCAGTGCCCAAGTAGAAGGTATGAAGGAGTTGTCCGTCCTCAGTAAAATCCTGGATGACTGAAGCATTGCCCTCGGGGGGCTGGTAGATGTTTCTGTAGTATCCCACTGAGCGAATGGTCTCTAGAGTCTGCCGGGCCACATTGGGCATCGTCACAGAAGAGAGGCGATCGTTCTTGTCAAACTCAAAGATGTACTGCCTCTGGCTGTGGAGGAGTAATACCATAGACTGGAGGGGAAAGAAAACAGAGATCAGCGGTGGGTAGCAAGGAGAAAGGGTAGGTCTGCATGCCCAGGACTTAAAAGGATAGGAATGAAAGGCCTAGGAAACTGTAGTTCTTCCAAGTTACACCTGAACTGGATCTTTCCAACCAACCATTGTGCCACACAGGATACTACAAGTGGCTGATGGCTGTACTACAACAAGAATTTCTTTCAACCTTTGGTCCTGGCTGGGTCTGTGGCCCCAGAGCACTCAGGCCATTTGCTTTATATGCTGAGCAGCCTTGTGTGTTACCCCATTGTGTGGTATACAGTTGATCCTATTTTCCATGCGATACTATCTAAGAAAGGTTAGGAAGCATTGGCCTGAAGTATTTGTGACAGCTTTACTGCTTTCCTTGTTCTTGACTCCTTCTCAAATCAATCTTTCCACTGAAGCAAGAATGATTCTCCTGAAAACACAAATCTGGCAATGACTGTTGCCTGCTAAATAACTTCTGTTGATGCCATATGGCCTCTAGGACAAAGACCATCTTTGAGAAAGACATTTAAGGCTCTGAACAACTGTTCATGCAATTATGGGTCACATGCCCACCCTGGGCTATGATAAGAATGGGAAAACCTGGGTTATACAGTACACTGATTGTGTGGCTTTGAATACGTTCTTCCCCTCTCTGGGTTTGGTTTTTCAGGATGTGGGATGACATCCCAGGCCTCTTTCTTAGCACGCCAGAGAAAATTAGTCTTGGAGATATTCTCTCCCAGAATAAAGTTGGGGACACTGGCCACACAGAGAAAGCAGACAGGGGACCAGGAAACAAAGCAGGGATCCAGGTATCAGAAGTAAGACATGAGATAGAGACTGACTGTTTCAGGCAAGAGGCAGCAGAGCTATCGTTTTCTCCTATTTGGGCCCAACTTTGATTTCAGACCCTTTCTGTTTCCTAGCACCTAGGATGAAATGAATTCTGACCTGAAGCAGAAGGGATTTACTAAGGCCCTCCTACCCCCAACCTAGCACTCAAAGTTCCTGATGCGCCGCCTTCTGCCTAAGTACTGATACCTAGGCTTCTACCTTATTTTCTGTGACTGGATCTCTCAATGTGCCTTAGGACTGGAAGCAGGCTTCTGTCCTGGATTGTGACCCTGAGTCCTGCTCAGTAAGCCCAGTTAGTGTTTGGACCTAGTACTAGCTCTAGTCTAACAGGTGGTATTTTAACATCCTTCTGCTCTAGGACCCCCATGTACTATGCCATCACCATGATCCATCCAGAGGCCTCTTGTGGCACCCTGGCAGTTTTTTTTTGAACATAGGTTTTCACTCTCCCACTGAGATCAGCAGACTGGACTTGGCTCGGGATTGGCCTATTACATTATGTGGGCAGTGATAGAGCCAGACACCTGCCTTTTCTAAGTATGTGTAGCTCCATGTCTTCCCGTCAGCAAAGATCCTGGATGTGATGCGACCTGCCTGGTCATATTCCATTCTCTCAGACATGATGCCCCTCTGGATACCAGCAATATGGCCCCCTGGGGAGTATGTCACATTGACACCATTTAGCCTGCTACTGGGTGACCACAGGCTGGGCCGCCCTGCCTGGTCATACAAGATGCGTAGGGTGAACTTGCGGTGGTCATCATAGATCTTCTCTGTGCGTGTCACGCGGTCAAAGTCCAGAGACAGGAGGTTTCGGTTGTGAACCTGGAGAAGGTTTAGAAAGAAAAGAGAAAATTAATCTGTGTGTTGATAACTTTGGTCTGATGGCCAAGTTGGCTCTCGGCTATACTGAGAAATTCGTGGTTAGAGAGGTAGTACAAATCCTGGGTGTCAGCAGACATGGGCTTGAGTTCTGGTTCTATCACTTGTCAGCTCTGTGAGGTTTTCTTTCCTGTAAAATGGGAAATTGCTGACTGCGTAGGGCTGTTGTGAGGACAAAGACAATGCAGATGGTGAGCAAATAATTGCTCAAATAGAAGATGATCCACATCATCTTCTGATATATTTCTAATGTGGATGTACAAACAGAGGTAGATCTTTCTAGTCTGCCTCCTGAAGGATGGCTACATGGGCTCAGGAAAGAAATACATGATATTATTATGTGCCAGGCACTGTGCTAGTGTTTAACATATTATCTTGTGTAGGCCTCAAGAAATCAAAGCTCATAGAGATGAAATGCCTTGACCTAGATCCCTTGGCTGAGTCTGGATTTGACTCTCACCACTGAAAGGTGCCAACAAATGCTCAGTGGTCCTCTAAGTGAGTCCTACCTTATAAGGACTCTTGGCTTCCCAGTACTGTGTCCTTTGCTAATGCAGTTCTTGGTCACCTCAGGCAGTCCAAAACCATATTCTGAGCCTGTTCCTTGGGGGCAGCATTGTGTGTGTTAGCCTCTCTGACTGAAAGGACGTGGCTCTCATTTTGGGATAAGTTTGTTCCTGTCTTCAGGAACAGAAGCCCCTGGTATGATCTCCACCCAGTCTCTTAAGTCAATATACAATTCAATTTCCTTTCAGAGTTAGATATATATGACTTCCACAGGAGTAGCAATAAATCAGGGTTTATCATATTTTAATACAGAAATATACTCCTGGGGTCTGCTTCTGTATTTGGATCTACCTGTTAGACAGTGGCTACTCCTGAAAACCTGCTTGGTACCGTGAAGCTAAATACTGGTGCCTCTAATTGGTTCTTGGTCCTACAGGGGCATCTGGGCATATTTTCTCTCCTTCTGTCAGTTACTGGTTAACTTTGATCAGTAGTAAGGAAGGAAAATCAGATAGTGTAGACACCATGGTGTAAAACCCCACATGTGAACTTAGCATGTATGGTTAAAAAAAAAAAAAAAAAAGTGGGGGGTGGGTGGGTGTCAGGTCTAGGAATTAATGATAGGATTCTACCTTTCACTCTGTGATCAACTTTCTGTGTGACCTTGGGCAAGTCCTTTGCCTTTTCTGAGTCTCAATTCTTCCTCTGTGAAACAAAACAAAACTATAGGGTTGTTGTGAGGTTTGAAGAAACATGTAAATTAGCTCGTGGACCGCTGGGCACATAGAAGGAACTGAATAAATGCCTGCAATGATTTCCATTAAATGACAGCAAGGGACCATTCTCAGTGGAAGTAGAGACAAGTGTGTCTCCCCCTTATCCCCATACAAATTATAATGCCCTGAAGATAAGGATTTATAAAGATGATGCCAATGACTTTAGGTGTGAATGGCCTTGTTATAATAAGGCTGCCTTCCCTGGGGTAATCAAACACAACTGCAGAAGCAAAAACAATGTGGCTCACAATTCCCATGAAAAATCAGAGGCACTGGAGGCCGAAGCTGTGCTTTCTGCTGAAGTGGTGAAGGAAGATACAAGGGCTATGCTGCCAATAATAATGGGAACCATCTCAAAGAATCTCTTTGTAAGATCTCCTATGGCCCTCCCCCAACAGGGTAATGATACCTAGCCAGTAGTCCCCCTCACCCCCAGAGGACCCCTGGTGAAGGGGAGCTATACCTCTGTGGCAAAAATTAATAAAATTGAATTAAGCAGCTCACTGGGGAACCGCCTACTGCTTCCTGGGCTCTGCAGTGGAGGCAGTGAGATTATTTTACATCTTTCTTTATTAAAAAGTTCCCAGTTGTATAAAAAATGAGTTCCATTATGGGAGGCGCACCCGGCTAACATTCTAATTCCACATGCTGCCACTGTGGGTGGCCATTTATTTCGGGAGGACGTGGAGATGTGGCCACCCGACTGGAGCACCATTAATCTGTGGCTGGGAGAGGGACCAATTAAAGCCTGGGAAACTTTTGGTCCAGTTCACACAGCAGAGAGGAAATCCTAATGGTACTAAACGCTGCTGCTTATTGAACACCTGGGGTCTATCAGCACTGGGTGGTTGTTGTTATGTGCCGGGGAGTCGGTTCCGACTCATAGCAACCCTGTACAGGGTTTCTGAGGCTGTAAATCTTTACGGGAGCAGACAGCCTCATCTTTCTCCCACGGAACAGCTGGTAGTTTTGAACTGCTGACTGTGAGATTAGCAGCCCAATTTGTAAGCACTACGCAACCAGAGCTCCTTTAGGTGCTTTGAATCTATTATCTTCATTCTGCAAAGGAACCTGAGGTGCTGAGAAGTAGAGTTGCTCAAGGGACACCATGCCCAGGCAGGAATCAAACCCAGGTCAAACGCTGCATGCATGTAGTGAGCCGGAAAGAGTTCATGGAGACTTAAGATGTGCATGAAGGGTTCTTTGGAAATTCAACCCAGGGAACTGGTGGGGGAGGGGCAGGGTGTTGTTGGTGGACTGTTGTTACTGCATTAGATGATTGCTAGGGTTCTTGACTGAATTCATCTGAAGGGAACTATGGAAGTCTGGTTTTCTGGGTTCTGTTGTGAGCATTGAACCCAAAAGATAGAGTACCTATTTTCTAGTCTTTACCACCACTTAGTTGTGTGACTCTGGGAACAATCACTTGCCCTCTCTGAACTTTAGTCTCCTGTATAACACAGGGATTTAGAGGAACTTTCTTTGATGAAGGGAGAGGGGACTTAAAAGAGTCCCAGATGTTGTTATGCTGATGCTTTTGTGGTTTTAAAACTGGCTCAGGTTTGTGGTGCACTTCAGCTGTGCACGCATCTCCTGAGCCCCTGTGCTGGAAGCCAGTGCTAATTCCTTAGGGTTCACTTTCTCCATCACCTTCCTTTCTGAAGCTGGAGGGAAAGAAGTTGGGTAGGCAGGCCCTGGGGCAGAGGCTACACACTCCTGAAACTTGGGAAGTGAGACAGAGAAAGGCTAGTTCAGGGTACCCACATACTGGAAATCACTCTGAAATGCCAGAGCATGGGCGCCAACCCACTGACAGCAACAGCTATGGTGGTGGGAAGTTTGCTCATTTTGGAAGAACAACTCTGAACAGAGTGGAAAATGTGGCTCAGGCTCCAAATAGTGAAAGTATGTACACAATGGTAATTACAATACTACTAATAGCAACAACAATAGCAGTAGCTATGAAGGAGCTCTGGTAGCGTAGTGGTTACGAGTTGAGCTGCTAACCTGAAGGTCAGCAGTTTGAAACTACCAGTTGTTTGGCGGGAGAAAGATGAGGCTTTCTGTTTCCCTAAAGATTTACAGCCTCGGAAACCCTGTACAGGGTCGGTACCGACTTGACGGTGCTTAATTATTGAACATTTACTATGTCGGAGACTGTGAACCAAATACTTGATATATTATTTCTAATCATTGTAGCACTGTAAAATCTTATTTTCCCTATTTTATGGATAATGGAACTGAAGCTGGAACTCCAGCTCAGTCCTAACACCCAAGGCCAGTGAGCTTTCTACAAGTAAAAACTAAGAAGACAGACAAGAGACTTGTATTACATGTAGTTCCCTGGTTTAGTTCCTCCCTTTGCAGATGAGGAAACTGAGATCCCAGAATCAGTCAGGGAGAGTTTCAAGAACAGAAGCTAGTTTTCCAGCTTCCTCCTTATTTCTACAAGTTCCAGAGGTTGAGACCTGCTTGGTAAGGTGTTGCTTACCCGTAGCCGGCGCCCAAAGACGGTGACTTGGCCGCGAGCCTGCTCCTTGCGCTGCCGCCACTCTACCAGGTTGAGTCCGTTGTCAATGGGTAATGTGACGTTCCTCTTGCCCACAGTGGGGTTGACAGTGCCTGCCAGCAGGTGGGGCTCCGTCTGCAGTGCCACCTCCATGCCATTGGCCAGCAGCAGACGCAGGGAGCCATCAGCTCCAATGTAGTAGCTGTTCCGGACTTGGTCTGAGGGAGAGGACAGGGGCAGAATTTGTTCAGGAGTGAGGATGAAGGGAGCAGAATAACTGTTAAATGTGTTTTTTTCGCTTCTGATTCTAGAAACAATATTGTTGTTGTTAAGTGCCGTAGCATGGGTTCCAACTCATAGTGACCCTGTATACGGTTTTTGAGGAGCAGCTGGTGGGTTTGAATTGCTGATCTTGCAGTTCAAATCAACCTTACCGTCCAATGCTTATCCTACAGCATCACACAGGACTCTAGAAAGAATATATAATCCTTAAAAAAAATAAAAAACAAAAACAAAACTAGGAAAATTGCTGCAAAGGAAAAGATCATTCATTATCTCCAAAACCAAAGGAAACCATTGCTAATGTTTTGGTGTATTCCTATATTTTAGGATATTTCCTAAACCACACGAAAACCCACTGCCTACCATTGAGTAGTTTTGTCATAGTGACCCTATATAGGCTTTCTGAGACTGTAAAATCTTTATGAATAGACAGCCTCGTGTTGTCTTACGGAGTAGCTGGTGTGTTTGAACTACTGACCTTGCAGTTAGCGTCTAGTGCGTATCCAACAGCGTGACAAGGGCCCCTTATAGGATATTTTCTAAAGCATTTTAAAATAGTTAAAAATAGTTGCTTATTATCCTGATGTGGCATTGTAGGATAAGCATTGGACTGCTAACCATAAGGTTGGCGGTTCAAACCCATCAGCTACTCCTTGGAAATCCTATACAGGGGTCACTATGAGTTGGAACTGGCTCCATGGCACCTAACAACAGACTTTTTAATGGATCATTGTATTATACCATACTATTTTTCATGAATATTCTTAAAGGATTCACAGTATTCCATTCTACAGAAATACTATAATTTATTGACCCAACCCTTAAAATACGTATTCAGATTGTTTCCAATTTTTCATAGTTATGAACACCACTGCAAATAAATATACTTTAAACATTAAGCCAAGTGAAAAACCCGTGACATAAATAGCCACATATTGTATGGTTTCATTTATATGAACTATCCAGACTAGGAAACCTACAGAGACAGAGAGTAGATTGTGAGTGGGGAGGAATTGCTAATGAGTATGTAGTTTTGTTGGGGAGTTGAAGAAGTTCTAGAATTTAACAATAGTGATGGTTGCTCAGCCTTATTGTAAATACACAAAGTCATCACTATAAAGTATATTTAAAACAATAGATTTTATGGTATATTAAGTAAATTAAATAGATTTTTATATTTTGTATAAATCATTATCATCATTTTAGATCTTTTTATCAAACTAGGATTACTAAAGCAAAGGAATGAATAATGTTCTTTGCAACAATGTGAAAAATAACTCCAATACCTAAATCACTGACAAAATGCTAAACACATATGTTGTTGTTAAGTGCCATTGAATTGGTTCAGACTCATAGTGACTTTGTATGGGGTTTCTGAGGATCAGCTGGTGGGTTTTAATTGCTGACCTTGTGGTTAGCAGTCCAGTGATTATCCTACAGCGCCACACCTGGACTCTCTATATACGTGTGTGTGTAGACAGAGCTATGTATATACATACATATGTAAAATTTAATAAAGGAGTCTGGGTGTGGCCCTGTAGTGCAGGACCACAAGGTCGGTGATTCAAACTCACTAGTTGCTCTTCAGAAACCGATATGGAGCCACTATGAGTCGGAACCAACTTGACGGCACTTAACAACAACAAACAATAATTTGGGAGTGTGGTGACTCTAGAGGATAAGCACTGGACTGTGAACTACAAGGTCAGCAGTTCAAGTCCACAAGCTGCTCCATGTGAGAAAGATGAGGCTTTCTGCTCTCACAAAGGTTTACATCCTTGGAGAATCTATACAGAGTCACAGTGAGTCAGATCCTATTAGACAGTACTTAACAACACCACCTTAATAATTTATATTACATACTCAACATAAGTTAAACAAGATCTTAATAAATATTTATATTTAAATGCAAATAAATATTTTATATTGAAAAGGAGCCCAAGTGGCACACTGGTTAAGTGCTTGGCTGCTAACTGAAAGACGGGCTGCTAACTGAAAGATCAGTGGGTTGAACCCACCTAACTGCTCCATACGATAAGCACTAGACTGTGAACTACAAGGTCCATGGTTTGAGGCTGCCAGCTACTTCATAGGAGAAACATGAAGCTTTCTGCTCTCATGAAGACTTAAAGCCTCAGAAATCCTATACAGGGTAGTTCGCTATGAGTCAGCACTGACTCCACGGCACTTTAATAAAACTTAACAAAAACAACTTACTGTATATTGTTGTTGTTGTGGTTGTTAGGTACCATCGCATTGGAACTGACTCATAGCGAACCTATGCACAGTAGAATGAAACAATGTCCGATCCTGGGCCAACCTCACTACTGTTGCCACACTTGGGTCCATCAATGCTGCCACCTGGCCAATCCATCTCATTGGGGGTCTTCCTCTTTTTCTCTGACACTCCAGCTTACCAAGCATGATATCCTTGTCTAGCGACTGTTCCCTCCTGACAATATGTCCAAAGTATGAGAGACGAAGTTTGGCCATCTTGGCCTCTAAGAAGCACTCTGGCTGCACTTCTTCTGAAATAGATCTATTGGTTCTTTTGGCAGCCCATGGCAACTCAAAGGCATCAATTCTTCTACGGTCTTCCTTATTCACTGTCCAGCTTTCGCACCCATATGAGGTTATTGAAAATACCATGGCTTGGGTCAGGCGCACCTTAGTCCTCAAGCTGACATCTCTGCTCTTCAATACTTTAAAAAGTTCCTGTGCAAAAGACTGGCCTAATGCAATACGTCGTCTGATCTCTTGACTGCTGCTTCCATGAGTGTTGATAGTTGATCCAAGAAAAATGAAGTCCTTGACAACTTCAAATCTTTTTTCCTTTGATAAGAATGTTGTTTATTGGTCCAGTGGTGAGGATTTTTGTTTTCTTGACATTGAGATGTAATCCATACCTAAGGCTGTGCTCTTTGATCTTCATCAGTAAATGTTTTAAGTTTTCTTCACTTTCAGCAAGCAAGGTTGTATCATCTGCATATTGCAGTTTGTTAATGTGTCTTCCTCTAATCCTGGTGCCATGTTTTTCTTCTCAGAACCCAGCTTCTCGTATTATTTGCTCAGCATACAGGTTGAATAAGTATGGTGAAATACAACCTTGTTGCACACCTTTCTTAATTTTAAAACAGTCAGTGTTCCCATGTTCTGTTAGAACCACTGCTTCTTAGTCCAGGTACAGATTCCTCATGAGTACAATTAAGTGTTCTGGAATACTCATACTTTGCAATGTTGTCCATAGCTTGTCATGATCCACACAATCGAAAGCCTTTGCGTAGTCACTAAAGCATAGGTACTGTATATTAAGTGCTGTTATGTGCCGTGGAGTTGGTTCCGACTCATAGCGACCCTGTACAGGGTTTCTGAGGCTGTGAGTCTTTACGGAAGCAGAATGCTTCATCTTCCTCCAGAAAAGCTGATAGTTTCGAACTGCTGACCTTTCGGTTTGCAGCCCGATTTGTAACCACTACGCTACCAGAGCTCCTTGTATATTAAGTAGTAGGTATTTAATAAATAAAATTTAAAATATTTATATTTAAATACAAATAAGTATTTTATACTTAAAAGGAGCCCTCATGGTACACTGGTTAAACGCTTGACTGCTAACTGTGAAAGATTAGTGGTTCAAGCCCACCCAGCCATGCTACAGTAAAACAGACCCAGTGAAAGGCATCTGTAAAGGTTACAGCATAGAAAACCCTATGTGGCCCTTCTACTCTACATGGGCCTCTGTGCGTCACAATCCACTTGACTGCATACAAGAACCATAGATATTTAAAATATCATTGTCATGTATATATATTTGTTGTTGTTAAGTGCCGTCGAGTTGGTTCCGACCCATAGTGACCCTGAACAGGGTTTCCGAGGCTATAAATCTTTATGGGAGCAGAAAGCCTCTTCTTTTTCCCATGGAGAAACTGGTGGTTTCGAACTGCTAACCTTGCGGTTCGCAGCCCAATTCATAACCACTACACTACCAGAGCTCCATATATATACACACACACATATATACACATACATACACACACACACACACACACACACACACACACACACACATATATATACATGAATATGTGGGTGTATACAAAGGGGCTTCAAATAATTGATGGAAAAATTCCATTCTATTTTTTTCATGAAACTTTTCATAGGAGTGCTGTGTGTATGTATCAGTTGTGAGTAACGGTTAACAGTGTTAGCTGTACTTGTAAAAATGTGGAACTCTAACATGGCATTTGTCAATTTTGGATATGAAAATGAGCCAGCTCAAAAGCAGGACAGGGAGATCTTGCTAATGTCAAGAAATAAGAGCCAGGAGTGAAGTGTGTCCTTTAGACCAGAGATTCCTGTGCACTGAACCTCCTGGATTCAGGCACAGAAAGCTGTGATGCAGGAGAAGTAGCCGGGGAGTGGCAGAGAAGCAACATCAGCAGAACCAAGAGCCAGAACGTAAGACGTAAGACAGAGCAGTGGGCTTCTCAACTCATGCAGTAAGCCAAGCTGAATGACTATGGGCAGGAGGTACATTTGCAGAGTGGGGTGTCTCCAGGAATTTAATTGGGGAGCTAGGTTTGCTGACCATGGAGCTGGAACCAAGTGCCCTTGGGCTGAGGCTATAGAAGAATTGAATGTTCTTTGGGTATCTATCAGCAGTGTTGAAAGAGCTTGGTAACACTGTCCACATCGGGCAGAGGCCAGGACTCTAGAGATTGAGGGCCAGAGAGAGGTCATTCTGCGGGCATGGTAGAGAACAAGCTGTCCTGACCAAAGGACTGCTTCCTGAACATTTCTGATCCTAAATTGTAGTCTATTAATTTCCCTAGTAAACCCCACAATTTTGAGTATGGTTTCTGAGTTCTGTGTGGCCATTGCAAATAATTAGTGAATGTAGCTGAGAAGTAAAGCATACTTAGGAGGGAGAGTTGTTGCCAGAATTAGTTAAAAAAAAAAAAAAAAAAAAAAGGTTGGAAGGTGGAGGCATGTCTTACTTCCAACTCAAAGGAATAAGCCTTGGGCTAATGAGTTTAATTCTCCTTCAGACTTAGGAAGCTGGAGGAGGTCAGATGCTGTCTCCTAGCTATTTCTTACAGCAATGATTCAAAAAGAGATCTGATTTTGAGATGTTAAATTGATCAAAACTTTCTCATTTGGATTTTTAGCTAAACGAAACTTGTGGAGGAAAAAAGTAAACAGCTATAAAATGTAAGTTTCTTTTCTTTCTTTCTTTTTTTTTTTTTTACTAAAAATGGGAATCTCTGAGTTTGCTATACACTTTCCTAACTTACTTTTTCTCAGCTGTTTTTCTGTACTTCCCTCTCTTTAATAAATACTAGCCTGAACTCACTCTTCCTTCAAGGCTCTGTTCAAATGTCTCTCTTCCCATAAGCTTCTTTTGTTCTCTGGTCAGACTGAATGCTTCACACTCAATATACCTCTCAACCTTCATACATAAGAGCCTCATCAGTAGTGTTGCAGTGGTGGTGTGGAAAGTTCACCACTTTTAATGAATGAATTCTCAAATTTTAATTGGTTACTGTGATCTGCATTATCAGTGATTAAGGGCATGCATGGACTTTTGTAGTGAGGCTCTGTAGGTTCAAATTCCAGCTCTGCTACAACCTTACTGGAATACTTTGGGAAAGTTACTTAGCCTCTCTTGTTTGTTTCTTCATTTACAAACTGGGGACAATAACGGTATCCTTGTAAGAATGGATGCCTTGAGGATGAAGTGAAATCACTATGAAGAGCCAAGAGCATACAGTAAGACTTATTTGAATGGATGCAATGACTTTCTATGTGCCTTCCCACTGTGCTAGTCATTGTCACGCGCATCTCTACTGCCTCCCCCCTTCTATCTCCACCACTCTTGCTTTACAAACTTGCTATAGTCACCTTGTGTAATGTTGCTCCTGGCCTTTCAAAAGCTCCTTGTTACCATAAGTGGTTAAAAGAGCAGATTCTAGATAGAGTCTGTCTCTTTGGGTTCAAGTATCCAACTAGGTATGGGATTTAGGGTAAACAAACCTTGTTTCCCTCTCATTTGGAAAATGGAGATATTACTACTACTACTTCATAGAGTTTTTGTGAGGATAAGATTTTGATTCTAAGAGCATGTTCCTGGGTGGTGAAAATGGTTAAGCGCTCAATTACTAACTGAAGGTTGGTGGTGTGAAGACACCCAGAGGTGCCTTGAAAGATCTGGTGGTCTTCTGAAAGGCCACAGCCTTGAAAACCATATGGGGCAATTCTACTCTTCACACATGGGGTCACCATCAGCTGGAATCCACTTGATGGAACTAACAACAACAACAATAACAAAAGATTATAAAACACTAAAAATATACTTTGTATTTAATACGTGTTGCAAAAACACTAGCTATCACTATGATTACTAATGTATGTGCTCAGTAAACATTCGCCGGAGTCAGGCTATGCCAAGCAATGAAAATGTGTTTTTTGTAATAAGTCTTCCCTGTTAGAATGGCATCAAACCTGCCCCTCTCACCCATTCTTTCCTACCTTTTTTTTCCCCCTTTCTTTCTCACAAATACACATTGTAAAATCTGCCTCAAGCTTGCTATGCATTATTCATTAACAATCTATATTTTACTTCCTTTGAATAGTGAGAAAGCCTGTGTCAATTTCTCTTTTAAAGCGGCTCCTTGTTGAATCCACATATGTCCATTAATGGTGACTTTAGAAGGAACAGCTTTTGTAGAGGCCCATCTCAAATGATCCCCATTTAATGTGGGCTGTGACTTCCCAAGGCTGCTGCTCATTAGTGGCTACTTCTTATGTCTTCCCATAGCTCACACAGAAGATGAAACCAAAAGAGCTTTTCACAAAGGCAGCTGTGAAACTGAGCATCTGGGCCTGGTCCACAAGTAGGAAGAAGAGCTTTGGTAGGGGTACCAAAGATAAGAAATAGGCAGGGCCATGTTTTTTGGACTCTAAGATGTACTTTTCATTACACGCTTTGATGTTTCTGAGATTGGATTGTGTCCTACAATCCTTGTATATGGTTTAGAGCAGTGTGTCTTGTTTTTTTTTTCCCCACCTGAGAAGCTGCTTTATTAAAATTGGTGGTGAAAACCAAGGAAATGTCGAACTTTTCGATTAAAAAAGAGTTGCCAAAATAAAAGAAAGCTTGTATCAACCTTGAGAAAAACACTCAGGATCAGCTAATAGTATGGAGTAGATGAATGAGGCAATTCTGAATCACAGGGGCGACCACAGGTCTGAAGGACAAGTTGTTAACTTGTCTGAGACCCTGCTGTCCTTGGTCAGGCACAATCCTGGCTGGTTCTGAACTGGCATCATCTCTTGGCAGTGACCCAGACCCAAATGCCCAGAGTGTGTCCCAACCACTGCTAAAGGTTCCTGGTAGGGAAGGAATTTCCAGGGCTGTTTTTTTTCTTTTTTCTTTTTCTTTGTTGTTTTCTTAAGTGCTGTTGAGTAGGTTCTGCCTCATAGCGACCCTGTATAGTGTTTCCACGGAGCGGCTGGTGAGTTTGAATCTTCGACCTTACAGTTCAAACTGACCTTATGGTTGAGTGCTTATCCTACAGTGTCATAATAGTATTTTGTGACTATTTTGTTTTTGTTTTTTGAAAAGACTTAAGATTACATTTGGGAATAAACTGTGTGTAAAGATATATAAACATTTATTTTCATATGGCCAATCAAGCTGCCTGTTAATACTTAATCCAACAAGTATTTACTGAGCACTTAGCAGCCTATACTAGTCACTTTACATACACTGTCTGAAGACATCATCTGAGCAGCCCTATGAAGTTTCTGGTGCTCTTGAGTGGGTTCAGATTCATGGCAACCTTGTATAGGGTTTCTGAGGCTTTAAATCTTCTGGGGAGCAGAAAGCTGGGTCTTTCTCCTGTGGAGCAGCTAGTGGCCTCAAACTGTGGACCCTGTGGCTCGCAGTTCAGTGCTTATACTATGGAGCCACCACGCTCCTAACCCTATGAAGTGGGTGTTACAATTCAGCCCCATTTCCCAGACTCAGACACTGTGTCTCAGTGAAGAAGAGTGACTTCACTGAATTCATTCAGGTAGGAATTGGCCCAGGAGCCCAGGTCAGCCTACCCCAGAGCACATGTTCTTTGTATGTTGTTGTTGGCTGTGTGCCGTGGAGTCGGTTCTGACTCATAGCCACCCTGTACTGGGTTTCCAAGGCTGTAATCAACAGGCTTTCTTTGTACAGCGGAGACAACTAAGGGTCAGAGTGGAAAGACAACTTGGCCCAAGTCACATGGTGATGTGGGGACTGAGTCAGGACTAGAATGTGGGCTTTCTGCCTTAGTCCAAAGCTCTTTTTACTACAGGATACCTTGTTTTATTGCACTTCATAGATTGTTATTTTACAAATGTAAGGGTTGTGGCAACACTGTCGAGCAAGTCTGTGGGTGCCGTTTTCAATAGCATATGCGCTCTTCATGTCTGTCTCCTTTTGATAATTCTCACATTTCAAGCTTTTTCACAATGCACACTTAATAGACAGTGTTGTTGTGTACCGTCAAGTTGGTTCCGACTCATAGCGACACTGTGTAGGGTTTTCAAGGAGCTGCTGGTGAGTTTGAACTGCTGACCTTGAAGTTCAAGTGACCTTGTGTTCCAGTGCTTACCTTACAGTGCCACACCAGGATAGTGTAAGTCGAAAACCAAACCCACTCCCATAGAGTTGATAAAGGGGTTCTTAGGAGCTCTGGTAGCCTAGTGGTTACTAATTGGGCTGTGAACCTCAAGGTCAGCAGTTTGAAACTACCAGCAGTTCCACAGGAGAGAGATGAGGCTCTCTGCTCCTGTAAACCCTGTAAAGCCTTGGAAACCCTGTACAAGGTTGCTATGAGTTGGAACCGACTCCACGGCACATAACAACAACAAGACAAATCTTGTGGTTAGAAACCCAATACTTAACCCACAGTATAAACATTACTTTTATATGCACTGTAGTTGTTGTTAATGCCAATGAGTCGGTTCCGACCCATAGTAACCCTGTATAGTGTTTCTGAGGAGCAGCTGGTGAGTGAACTGCCAACCTGGCGATTCAAACCGACTCCACAGTCCAGTGCATTAACCCACAGCACCACACCAGGACTCCTTATTTGCACTGGGAAACTAAAAAATTCGTATGACTTGGCTTTATTCAGATACTCACTTTATTGTGTTGCTGTGGAACCAAACCCACAATAGCTCTGAGAGGTATGCCTGTACTTTGTGTTAAAGCTGTTGGGAGTACAAAGAGCCATCCAGTGGACTGGAAAAAATGAGGCAAGGTGTTCTTAAGTGATGGCATTTCTTTGTGCTTATGAAGACCAACATATCTGAAAGTGCCACCCTGGGTCACCACAACCCAGGAGAACAATTGAGGCATAAGACTCATAGCAATATTTCATTGTGTATTTCACCTGACAGCTCAACCCACATCAGGGATTCTTTGATGGAAGAAGTGTTTCTTTTCTATGGAATCCTAGCAGAGGGACAACTTGTTCTCACCTGGGCAGCAGGAGGCACTTCTCCAGGCGGAAATCCCTTTCATAATTAGGAATAATTATTCTTGTCTTTTGTCCTCACCAGCATCTGTATGAGACTTAAGTCTTTTATCTGAGGGCCATTAGAATGGCTGAATATCGAGGTCACCTGGATCAGCAGCTAATGGATTCTCTACTCTTTATTCTGCTGATAATGGGATAGGATGATGGGCTATTTACACAGAGGCTCAGGGGCCAGAATTGACAGGGCTCAGGCTGGTATGTGATGTGCAAATTAGGAGGAAACACAGAACCCAATTGTGATACTTTCCTGTTCTTAGGTACTCCAGAGCATGTGTTTCTTGTATCATCTTCCTCCAGGGGTCTCCCCATCCCACTGCCTCAAAGTTCTCAGACCCCCAGCCGACTTACCTTGCAACAGTGTGTAGAAGGCACCTGAAGCCGATAAGTTGGTGGTTATGGTGACATCATCCTTGCTGGAGGTCTCTACCTGGACATGCACTGAGCTGTCCGTATCACTTCGGAAACTGCTCACCTGGCCAGTGGGGAAGGTCACGTTTGTCAGGCGGCCGAAGCTGTCGTACCTGAAAATGAAGGAGTGGCACTGAGTAACAGAAAGGAAACGGTGCCATAGTTGGAACTTGGCATGTTCTACTTAATGCCCTGTTCTCTGCAGGTTCTGTTTACCTTCCTGGTTGGATACATTTCCGTGTCTCATATAGGAGGGCTTCAAAAAGTTGGTGGGAAAATGGAAACATTTCTGTGACATTTTTGCAGTCCCCTCATTTCTCCCACATGGAAACTGGCACACAATTTTCAGGAAATAATACCACCTGCTCATAACAGACTTTCCTTCTTGAGTCTTCATTTCCTAATCTGTAAAGGAGATGGGAACTCCAAGTATGCTTACTTCCCAGGATTACAGTGAGGAACAAGTGAATATGCCCTCAGGCTGTAAAATAATATCGAATGATGAGGACCATATATGATGATTATGATGAATCTGCTGACTCAGAATCTCTGGGTTGACTGATTCTCCAGAGTGATCTGGTCCAACTGGATACCCTCTGCAAAACCTTTAAGAAATGGTTAGACAGGGTTTTTTTTCTGATCAACAATGGAGATGGAGACACTATTACCCAGGAGTTTCTGAGGCTGCTTCAGATCACAGGGAAAGGAGACTCAGAATCCACACAGCAGGACTCTGCTGTCCCATAAGCAGGTTATTCAGATGACCTCTTATATGATTTCTCATCCAGCATGAAGCAGTTGTGTATCTGCAACTCTCATAACCTACAGCTTTGTTCTGATGTGGTGTGTCTAACGCCTCATAATTGAATCTGAATTTTCTTCTTCATTCTCCTAATAGTAATAAAAGCAGTGCTCACTGTTGTTGAACATCTACCATGCCATAGGTGGTTCCTCGTTACTTTTCATGGATTCCCTCATTTAATCCCCACAGCTAGTTTAAATGATGTGTTTGAGCTCCATTTCACCCAAGAGAAGACTGAGGCTCACAACAGTGAAATCACCTGCTCAAGGTCATACAGCTAATAAGTGTGCATGTGTGTGTGTGTGTGTGGGGGGGGGATTGAGTCAAAACTCAGCTAGGTCTGTTTCTAAACTGTAACTCCCATCTCTGTCTTCAACCAACATTTGGTAGGGAGTGGGCTATTAGTAATTTTAATTATTTTTAACTGGGGACAACTGAAGTATAAAAAGGCAGGTCTAAATGGCCTTTTTGCACTTGTGTGTGAATGGGGAAAAAAATCTCTTCATTTAGATGCCAATATTTCTGATTTCTGCGTATACTCAAGGCTACAGCTTGGGTTTCCAATACACTTAGTGTCTTTGTTTTTGTTGTTAAGTGCCTCGGAGTAAGTTCTGACTTAGCAACCCTGTTAAGGTTTCTGAGGAGTGGCTTGGTGGGTTTGAACCACCTAACTAACTAGCATGGTGTGGTGGCTCCATATGGTAAGTGCTGGACTGTGTATCACAAGCTCTGCAGTTCGAGCCCACCAGCTGCTCTGTGGGAGAAAGATGAGGCCTTTTGCTCCTGCATAGATGTGAAGCCTTGGCAACCCTTTACAGGGTCGCTATGAGTTGGAACTGACTTGACAACACTTAACACCACCATGACCTTGCAGTTAGACATCCAGTGTTTATCCTACAGTGCCATGCCAGTGTCCTTACAGGTCTCTTTTTAGTATTTGTAGGAGCAGGGTGCAAATGGTGAGGGAAAAGCTGGACCTCTGGGTTTCTGAGAGTTTTAACAGTGGTAACAGTAAAGATTCTGTTCCATCCTGGCTTTTCTGCTGTTCCAGCTGGGCCCTAGCTTCCTGCTGGGTCTCCTGGGTCTTGCATTTATTGTTCTGTCAGATGAAACTTGGTAGCTGAGGCTAGATAGACTATCAATGAGCAATCTTCTGTCTGAGATCAGACTGAGGGGTCGGGGGCTGGCACACATGCTGCCATTTGCTAACTCTATAACTGTGCCTGGTAATGATTGCCTTGACACTCTTTACACAGACAAGGCATTGGTAAAAAGTCTTTTGAATGAATCACCCCTGACCTTGGACCAAGAACAGTTCTGGAGGAAGAGCCAAGAGGCTTGGAGAAGACAGGCTCATCTATTGCTGAGGCCTGAGGAAGCAGAGCAAGAACACTTTCTAGAATGGCAGGCAGTGCAGAAGTCCCTAGCACAGGGGCTCAGGCCCATGCTTGTGTGTATGGCTCTGGAGGCTGGATTAGCTCTCTAGGTTCTATATGACATGCATTGACACAGCAGCTGAACAATGAGCTCAAACAGAGGAATGATTGTGAGGATGGCACAGGACTGAGTAGTACACGGGGTTGCTATGAGTGGGAACTGACTCTATGGTACCTAACAACAGCAGTAGCCCAGGTACTTAGGGGACTGTGGAAACCTTTTTCCTGTCATGAGTCTTGTTTTTTCTAATCCCTTAGTACTTAGGTTCTTCTAGGAGAAGGTGAGTCTGGTGGCCTAGGGAAGGGAGAGCATGTGGTGTTCAGCTTGGCAAGGGAATAATTCTGAGACTGCCCCCAAGAAGGAGGGACAAGTCTTGGGCTAAAGAGGTAGGCCTCTTGTGCCGGGATGTCTCTTACCTCTGAAATAATCTCTCAGAGCCCTGTACCCTTCAGCCCTAAGAATGGCTGGCTTTCTTTTTAACTCTATAGATGTTAGGAATTTGAGCAGGAAAGACATTCCTGAAAATACTGACAGTAGTTACCTCTAGGAGGTAGAATTGCAGGCGATGTGAACTGCTTATTTATATATATTTAATAGTTTCAAGATTTTCTGCAATTAAAATGGATTGTTTCAGAATCAGAAAAGTACTGTGACAGCCCAAGCAATTATACATACAGGGAGTCCATTTACATGGTCAACTTGGGGAACAGGGATCCTTTAAATTGTTGCTGTCAGGTTCTGACCCATAGTGGCCCTAAACAGAACAAAACACTGTCTGGTCCTGCCCTCCTCACAGTTGTTACATTTGGGCCCATTGCTGCTGCCATGGTGTCAATCTATCTGGTTGGGAGGGGTCTTTCTCTTTTTCACTGATCCTCTACTTCAACAAGCATAATGTCCTTCCTCCAGGACTGATATATGTCCAAAGTATGATAGATGAATTCTCACCATCTTTGCCTCCAAGGAGCATTCTGGTTGTACCTATTCCCACTGAGATCTGCTTGTTCTTCCGGCAGTCCATGAGACTTTCAATAGTCTTCAACTCAAATGCATCAATTCTTCTACTGTCTTCCTTATTCTGTCCAACTTTCACATGCATATGAGGCTATTGAAAATACCATGGCTTTTGCCAGGCACCTTAGTCCTCAAGCTGACATCTTTGCTCTTCAACACTTTAAAGAGGTCTTGTGCAGCAAATCTGCCTAGTGCAATATGCCATCTGATTCCTTCACTGATGCCTCCTCCATGGGAGGTGATTGTGGATCCAAGCAAAATGAAGTCTTTGACAACTTTAATGTTTTCTCCATTTATCATGATTTTGTTTATTGGTCCTGTGAGGATTTTTTTTTTTCCTTGAGGTACAATGTATACTGAAGGCTGTGGTCTTTGATCTTCATCAGTAAGTATTTGAAGTTTTTTTTTTTTCCTTCAGCACTCAAAGTTGTATCGTTTGCATATCACAGGTTCACAGGTTGTTAATGAGTCTTCCTCCAATCCTGTTGCCACATTCTTCATATAATTGAGCTTCTTGGACTATCTGCTCAGCATACATATTGAGTAAGTATGGTGAAAGAATACAGCTTTAGTGTACATCATTCCTGATTCCAAATAAGCCAGTGTCCCCTTGTTTTGTTTAAATGACTGCTTCTTGGTCTGTGTAGTTTCCTCATGGGCACAAGCAAGTGTTCTGGAAATTTATCCATAACTTGTCATGATCCAGAACCTTTGCAAAGTCAATAAAGCACAAATAAACATTTTTCTGGTATTTTCTGCTTTCAGTCAAGATCTATGATGTCAGCAATGATATCCCTCGTTCCATGTCTTCTTTTGAATCCTGCTTAAGTTTCTGGGCATTCCCTGTAGAGGTACTGTTGGCAGTGGTTTCTTAATTATCGTCAGTAAAATTTTACGTCTTGTGATGTTAATGGTATTGTTCAATGATTCCTGTCTTTGGAATGTGCATGGCTACCGATCTCTACCAATCAGTTGGCCAGGTAGCTGTCTTCCAAATTTTTTGGCATAGATGAGTGAGTACCTCCAGTGATGCATCAATTTGTTGAAAGAGTTTTATATTCCATCAATTCCTGGAACCTTGTTTTTCACCAATGTCTTCAGTGCACTTTGGACTGATTCCTTTAGTACCATTGTTTCTTGATCATATGTTACCTCTTGAAATAACTGACCATTGACCATTTCTTTTTGGCATAGTGACTCTGTATTTCTTCCATCTTTTTCTGATGCTTTCTGTATTAGTCAATATTTTGCTCAAGTTGAGGCTTAAATTGTTTCTTCAGTTCTTTCAACTTAAGAAATACTGATGGTATTCTTTCTTTTTGGTTTTCTAACTCCAGGTTTTAGCACATTTTGTTACAATATTTGATCTTGTCTTCTCACTGCCCTTTGAAATGTTCTGTTCAGCCCTTGTACCTCCTCACATCTTCCATTTGCTTTAACACCTCTACACTGGAGAGCAAGTTTCAGAGTGTCTTCTGACATCCATCTTGGTCTTTTCTTTCTTCCATGTCTTTAAAATGACCTTTTGCTTTCTTCCTGTATGATATTTTTGATGTCATCTTACAATTCTTCCAGCCTTTGGCCATTAGTGTCTAATGCATCAAATCTGTTCTTGAGATGGTCTCTAAACTCAGGTGGGATATGTTCAAGATCATATTTTGACTCTCTTGGATTTGTTTTAATTTTCTTCAACTTCAGCCTGAACTTATATAAGAGCAACTAACAGTCTGTTTCACAGTCAGCCCCTGGCCTACTTTTGGCTGATGATACTGAGTTTTACCATGGTCTCTTTCCACAGATATAGTCAATTAGATTCCTGTGTGTTCCATCTGGTGAGGTCCATGTGTATAATTCTCTTTT